CACAACCCAACGTTCTCGGACTCCCCTCTCGCCGACGGCATGCAAACCTGCGACAGGAACCCACATGACCAGGGGCGGCAACGACAGGCGCGGGGACTCCGTGGATTCCAGTCGTCACAGACGCGTTTCCCCGTTTCGAGTCGGTAGCGGCACGACGTGCAAGCCCCATCATGTACTGCTGGTACACTTTGCCCCCGTTATATTCGCTGTGACGGAGTCGTCGTTCCCACATCTGTCCCACTTGACTTCCGCATACAGCCCTGACTGGCGCCGCACTTCTCCACCTGTGCCTACATGCCACATAGCGTGAGCATGCGCGCCCGTCCGCCAAATCGCCGCACTCGCCTTACTATCCCTTAGTTTCCTTATGGACCCCGCTGGCACGGGAGAGTAGGACAAAAGATGTCATGCAAGTTCTTATCATAAGTACGTATGATTAAATAAGGAATACATACCTATATTACATTGATGAATTGGATCTAGTTCTGTGTCGCTGTAGGTTATAACTGTTACATGATGAATGTTACCCAACATAATTATTCGTCACTGATCCAATGCCTACAACTTTCGCATATTTATCCTGCTATGCTACTATCTTTGTTGCTACTGCTATTACAATCACTATAAAACTGCTATTGCTACTCTTACCATTACTATTGCTATTGCTACCACTATTATCAAATTATCATACTACTGTGCTACCGATCACTCTGCTACAGATATTTAGTTCTCCAAGTGTGGTTGAATTGATAACTCAACTATCAATCCTTGCAAATATTCTTTGGCCCCCCTTGTGTCGAATCAGTAAATTTGGGTTGAACACTCTACCCTCGAAAACTGTTGCAATCCCCTATACTTATTGGTATCAATTTGCTCTGCACCATGGGGTGCGGGATACCTACCATTGAAGACCCCTCTATCTATGGCCACCGGCCAGGGTGAAACGGTTCGAACTTTGGAAAACTGTTGCAATCCCCTATACTTATTGGTATCAATTTGCTCTGCACCATGGGGTGCGGGATACCTACCATTGAAGACCCCTCTATCTATGGCCACCGGCCAGGGTGAAACGGTTCGAACTTTGGATTAGGAAGATACCCTTGTCTTGTCAATCGATTCAGTTGCCCTTGGGCAACCAAGCAACTCCTCCAGTCTCCATCGAGTGGACAATTGGGGCCATTCAATGAGCCAGGAGCATTCGCCATTTTTGGAGCTCTAAAACTGATGACGGGGAGTTAGCGTGGGCGCGAGAAATAAGTAGATAGGGGGAACTCTTCCTTAGTCTTATGTCCGCAATAATGGGACATGCAACAATGGCACACTTGAATCCCTGATAGTTAATTGTGGCCCACTATGACCTGTACCCCTTTAACAGGTATATCGAGATGTGGGTCCACAAAATCACCAACGCTATGTTTGGATGTCTGCATTAAAGACCTTTGTATTGTATTGGTTTCAATTCCATTTCAGCCAGGAGACTGTAATTAACATGAATACGAATTCAGTTGTTTGGATGTTAATTGAATTGGCTCACGGAATCCTACTGAGGTTTCAATATGGATTAATTTTTGGGTGTCAAACTATGGATCTGCATAGCAACATTAGTGTATGCATCCAACAGAAGTAGTATAATGTGTGAGTGACTACAATTGGATGATTATATAGCAACAAAAAAATATCTAATATACTAGAATGGTGGAGGAAGAAGAGTAGCCGTGTTGATGCATGAAGAAGGGGAGCCATGTCTCGGCTGAGATGGCCCAAGGGAGAGGAGATGGGCTCCAGCGGTCGGTGACCGCAGTGCCGGCATGAAGGGAAGGGTTGGCGCCAGAAGGGACTGCAGCCGCAGCCATCAGAGGTCAGATGGGATTTGGCCGTGGCGAGCATGGCCAGAGACAATGGGAAGGGGCGCTACAGGAGAGGAAGGATCGGCAGCAGTGGAGGAAAAAGGAAACGGGAGGGCATCGATCTGCGGGGCGCCGCCGTCTTCGATCTGCTTGGGCGCCGCCTTCTTTGATCTTCCTGGGTGCCGCCGTCCTCTGTCTCATGGTGGAGGGAGGAAGGGACAAAAGAGAGGCCCGGCAGAGCCAATTCGGCAGAAATTGGAGGTGCAGGCCTCCAAAATGCCGCGAGGATTGAGTGCATGCAAGCGAAAATTGTTGCATATTCGTTACCATTTCTGTCTACTATTTCAGAGTACATCCAAACACCTGAACTGGGGCAGCCCAATATCAAATCCAATACAGAGAGCCCAATACAGACATCCAAACGCAGCGCAAGGGTCGTTGGGAATCCTTGGAGAGTAAGAATTCGCCTATAAGAAATGGACTTCGGAGTAAAAAAACTTCGGACTTGGGGTCCTCAATCGGGACTGTTCGGACACGATAAAACCACATTATCTTCATGACGAGCCTTGTTAAAACAACGCCCCGATTACCCAGAGTATATCAATGCTCGGGTTTACATATCAGCGTGGTGCAAGAAGAAGCTGAACATAGAAGGGAATTCGGAGCCAAGTTAGTTCTTGGATTTAGAAGCAGACGTGGAAGGATCGAACTCGTCTACGAAGCCGAAGACCAGAAAGTTCAAGCTATTCCAAAGAAGGAGCCAATGTCCTCGGCTTGAAGACTAGTTCAGGGGCTACTGACGGTGTCCTGAATTAGGGGGTGCTGACCACGTTGGCCTGTCATCAATGGCCCGAGCCGAGGATCTACTAACGACTGAAGAATGGGACACACCAGCTGTGGCCCTCGACGTACTCAAGACGAACCCTCCGAAGACTTGGTGTACACTTCAAGGCGTATTCAAATAGTCGACATGTTTATCCCTAGCTGTAGCCAATCATATGTAAACCTTAGATACCCCCGATACCTATATAAGCCAAGGGGTCTAGTTTGTTGGGGCAAGGTGTTTAGACTAGATCCATTCATACGATCTCGAGGTAGATCATCTTGTACTCTAGACCCCATCACAATCAATATATCAAGAGTAGGATGTAGCACTTTACCTCTTATAGATGGACCGAACCTAGGTAAAACATCGCGTCTTCCTCTACTTCCTGTTACCATCATGCCATGATCACCAACTCAGGACCCCCTACCCGAGATTCGTCCATTTTAGCATTGACACCCTCGGGCACACAAAGAACACGAATCACCCCACAACGCCTCCAATGAGGTAACGACACCCGCGGGCGTCACCGTTGACAGTTCTGGCCAAGGCCAGAACGAAGCTTTCACTGGTAAATTTGCGCCCTTCCCTGACTGGACCACCAGATCTACCTCATCTGTCATCCAGCACAATCATGGGCAGTGGCAGATCTAGGATTTTAAACCAGGGTGGTCCACCTCAAAAAAAAAATAGAACAAATATGACATGTGTACATTCTAATTAGTTTACCAATACCATGTAGAATTATAAATAGATCAATTGGGTCGAATTTGGTTTTACAAACATACTGCAATTCTTAATTATGTCTTTTTCTAAACTTGCTCTTGAGTAAACTCATGGTAGAAAATCGCCGCCGGCTGAAGCAATAATAAGTCTAGAAGCAAGTACACCAAATTATGATATATATGCCTCTTTGTTTGAAATTGGGTTGAAACCGTGGCTGCTACACGCCTCCAGTGAAGCCAACCTGCCAAGGAGCGGGATGGATGTGAAGAGCCAAGGAGCATACCACTACTGAATGCAGTTTGCTCTACACGCGCCACAGCTGAAAAGTTCAGAATTCGTACAAAATATCTAGTCAATCTCCATGTAAATTCGTCTAAATCAGAGCAACAATGGGGGCAGGGGAATGGCCGGGTGGATTACCTCTCTCAGAAAAAGGCAACGGGTTGAGCGGCCGAGCGGACTAGGCACTAGCTGCGGCGGCCGGGCGTGGCAGGCCGCGGCCCGTTGGCGTCAGACTTATTCAGGGCGGCCGGGAGGGGCCACCACAAACGCATACCGGAGCCATGGCGGATGAAGGCCATGCAACCGCCATCATCCCCCGCCCGAGTTTTTCCCAGCAGAGCTCCGGCGGTGGCGAGGAGAGGGGCAACGGCGGCTCAAATTCCTAGAACGGATCGGCATGAAGGGCATTGGGAGGGAGGGAGTCGAGGATAGGGGAGGAGGCTAATGTGGTCATGTAAGCCCACTCGAACTAACTGAAATGAAATCCTGCGTCTTTGTTTGGGTTAATCTTGTTGGGCTCTGCGGTATACAAAGCTCTTACAACTCATGGTGTAGTGATTTTGTGGGCTCCTTCTATATTCTGTTGCACCTCAAGCAAAACGGCTCGGTTAAAAAAGGGACTAGAAGTTTCTTCACTAACATCATATCATTTAAAAAATTTCATCATTTGTTATTGGTTTCACTATATGTGGTAAAACTAGATTTAAATTAGTAATAATCAGTACATAAGCAGTGGTGTACATCTGAACCCAATCTCTGTAAACTGGCTCTGCCCCTGAGTTGTAGAGAACACCCCTTAGATATTAATCGTAGCCACCACAAGATCAATGTCATCTCCCCTTCGGCTCTGACTATTGCTCTGCTGTTGTGAGGTGGAGGGAAGGGATTGTCGTCTCTCATCCTTTGTGTAGTAGGATTTAGAATCACGGCGACATTGCTCCGACAATAATGCTGGTGTCGTATCAAAATAAAACCATCGGCTCAAATCCCTTCTTGGTGACGCTTGGAGTCTCCAAATAGGCAAAACCTTGCTAATTCATTAGAAGATGAAGAACTTGTGTTGGCCCATATTTATCATAAAATTCAACTTTCTACCCCTCAATCCGGTTTGGCAAACGTTACTTCATAGATCAAAACCTCTACATCGAGTCGAGAGATACTCACACAACAATGTGGAATTTAATCATCCATTTATACTCACACAACAATGGGAAATTTATTCATCCATTTATTTACTCATACAGTACTTCTCAAGCTTATTGATCGGTTATCAGATTCATACATCCATGCATGGAGGACTCACTCATGGTCTTGGTATGTTGTCACTGTACCGCAAGCCCCACCGAGAGCCCACTGTTGAAGGGCCTCTGGTTATAACAGTCGAGGTTGTTACCATAGCCAACGCCGAGGACATCGCAGTAGCGCTTGTAGAAGCCGATCCGGTTAGCAACACGGTCATCCTGCCCCCTACCGCACTCGATCCCACCGTTGATGATGTTGGTGATGACACCGTAGCCAGGCGACCGGCCGGCGGTGTTGTCGGCGGCCGACGGCGTCCACTGACCCGTGATCACAGCATGAGACGCCGGCTTGTTATCTTGTGCCGTCATCCAGAACCACAACGCGGTCTTGAACGACACCGTTGGGTCTGTCGCCACCAGGTCCGGGTTGTTCAGCAGGTCCACCCCGATTGCGCGGCCTGCTTGGCCGTAGTTGTAGTTCCATGAGAGCTGGATGGGGCCGCGCCCGTAGTATTTCTTGCCCGACGCGCACGGCCACTCCGGCTTTGGGTCACAGTAGCTTCCCGGCGAGCCCTGCTCCTGCTTGAAGCAGTAGCCCCAGGCGTACGGTCCGTCTGGCGCCGCGGGCCACCCGCCGGTGGTCTCGTGGGAGGTCTGCCCGAGGAAGGCCGCCACCTCCCGCTTCCGCGTCTCCGTGCTCCCCGTGGTGCCAAATGACGGGAACGCGGCGGCGGCGGCGAGGAAGGCGCCGTATGTGTAGAACCCGCGGGCCTCTTGGCAGTCGTTGCGGTGGAGGAGGAGCCGGTCGAAGAGGTCCCTGGACAGAATGGACGACACGCCCCCGCCGGGGCTGGGGCCGGGAGGGGTGGGGCCGCAGCCGCTGCACTGGCTCTGGCAGCCGGCGCCGCAGTAGGCGTCGCCGCTGCCACAGTACCCGAATTGGCTGCAGCAGAGACAGTTTGCGCACCTCGCGCCGCCAGCCTGGGAGCCGCACTGCTGGGCGTTCACGGCTGTGGCGAGCGCCGCCGCCAGGACGACGGCCAGGATGGCCACCACCCTCGGGGCTCTCAGTACCGTGGGCATGTATGGCTTCATGATCGATCTTGAGTGGTGCCTGGTAGATTATGGCGCCAAGTGCCGCCATTTATAGGCCTTCTGTGGAGAAAAGTCGTGGTGTGCCTTAAAACTAGATCAATCTTGTGTGTGGAAAATGGGTGGAGAATGGGCCTGGGGAAAGGTGCGTGCAACGCCATTGTACTCACTCATTGCTCATCGTTTGAATTATGCTGAATGGCACGCCACAAATTTCCCTTATCTCCTTCATTACTACGCAGGACCATGTGACCACGTCTGCTCTCATAAATAGGCGAAATGGGCCGATCAACCACGTTCCACTGATCAATTAGTGAATACGCGATGAAGACGTAAACTATGAGACTAACTTGTTGCTACAGAAATATAAAATACTTCATTCTGCAAATTTGTGTTGTGTAGAAGGACTGTTCGTGCATAAAGTAAACACTTGCAACTAGGACAAACACATGGCAAATTCTTGTAATTTTAGCCAATTTCTTTGAAATATATGTCTTGCTAGATAAGATCGATCAATGAATCTCACGGCGGGCAAGGCAGGGGGGTAGGGTATGATATGATCGATCAATAATTCTCACGGTCGGGCCACTAATAATCAACCACTAACTTCAATTCCGGCCACGGAGCAGAGGCTGTATGTGGGTGTATGTTGTTGGGCTACTCTACATTGCCACGTATGTGGACACGATACCTTATTTGTTGACCGAGTCTCTTACAGCTGTCTAGTTGCCTTTTTTTTCTATACTATACTATACTATAAAAACAAGCAAACTTTATCTTTTTTACTGCCACACCCCCAGTGTACCCAGCCTGATTACTATCATCAGATTATTCCACCTAAACACATCTAACAGTCAAGATTATTCCACCTAATATGATGCCCGTTGACGAACATGCGGAATCCGCCGCCCAAGCTCAGTTTACCGAGACACCGTCACGGGCTCGCTGTTCCTCTACACATCGACGCCCGCCCCTCCCCCGTGCCACTCTCCCCACCGGCTGTGACATCCCGGTCACTACTTATCCGCTCTTTTCCCCGGCGTCTGGCTGCCTGCAATGTCAGGTTCCGTTTCAGGGGTGGTGGTCAGTGCGATTCTGCGCCTTGCTTTGCTTTGCCCCATTGGTGGATGCAGTGCGCGTGTGTGCACTGGCTTCGAGTCTAGCTTGGAGGCGGCGAGGTGGCTAGGCAGCGCTACTTGCTCTGTTTCTACAGGCGCTGCTTGCTGTACCTGCTTCGTGTAAGTTTTTGCTCTAGCTGATGCTTGTACGTTTTGGATGTCAGCAAAAAGTTTGCAATGCAAGTGGCTGGTGACAACTTGTATAATTCGCAATTTTGTTATATCCACTTGACCACTTGGTTTAAATCTGATAGGTACTTATAAACTGCTTTTGATGTGTTTTCCTGCTGAACAAATGTAAATGATATAATAACTGAAATTTAATAAGGCTGTGTACTTAAAAGTTTAGACTTATTCGATGCATCTTTAAAGATTGAACTGCATGGTATTATTTTCTGTACTTAGATCTTAAAGGATGTGTGCTATGGTTCAGACATAATACCTTGCTATTTAGATATTGTGCCTATCATCATTTATTTAGACTAGCCACAATGGGTAGTAACAGTGCCCATGTTACTACTCTATGTTACTACCTCTATAGTGTGGAGTAACATATGTGTGGTAACATGCAACACTTCATTTATTAGGCTATAGACTCATCTTGCCTTGATATATGTGATGTTACTCATAATAATAACTAGCTATGTTATCACATGCCTCTCTTTTTTCATTTATTGTTTGCCACATCATCTATTTTATCTAGATATGTGTGATGTTATTATCTATGTTACTCCCACTATGGGTAGTCTTAGCAATGTTGGTAAGTGAAGTTTGATTAATACATTGATGTATATGGGTTTGTGTAAACCGAAATTGTGCGTAGCCTGATTTATGGAGCAATGGATAACAAGGTTTGAACTATATATTTTATTTGAGTCAAGGACTGTTGAGTACCATAACTAATCCATTATTTTTCCATCTCGCAGTACTTTGTGAGCTGGGCTATGTGGCGGCATGTATGATGAGTATCCTACTAAGAGATGCTTGTTCAGGTGAGGCAAAATTTGTTGTCTTCGATTTTACTTAAATCTTGCTATAGCTTGATATGTACACCTCAATGAATGGTAGTTCTCCATTTATAAGTAGAGTCAAACTTTCTTATGAAAGCAAGACGCCCAATTTATATGCGTTGATTTGCCTGGTGCCATGTCATGATTTTCATTACCAGTATGCATATGGGTTAATTTTCCTTTTGCCCTCAGTGGTGTCCATGTGCTCACTTTTGCCCTCAGTTGCGAATCGTGCTCAGTTTTGCCCCTAGTCTGTCCGCACCGACTCGTTCCATGAAAATTGCCGTCTCCGTCTGGTCAACCTTTTGACTCGGCCCTTACAGGTGGGACCAGGGGGCAGTGACGCGCTAGACGATCAGACCGCTGCACGCGTGGCTTGTGGGACACAGCAAATAGACATTGAGCAGAGAGCCGTTGCGGGTGTGCGATATAAGCGGGCAACAGAGAGCGGCGGTGACCACGGCGATAGAGAGAGCGGCCGTGGGAAGATAGATGTGGAGGGCGCGGCGGCGTTGGGATACCCTTTGGCTCCGAGCTCGATGTCTTCTTCAAGCTCCCGCGCCACCTCGCAGATGCAGATCCCAGCGCGCGTGGAGATGTCGATCTTCATCTGCCCGCGGTGCCGGGCGGGCGTTGATCGGAAGGTTTCTCACACAACGAAGAACCATAATCGTCCGTTCTACGTGTGCGGCAAGACTGGGGTAAGAATCGGGGCAATCGTCTGCTGGGACTAATTGTGCAATGGGGCAAACTTTATCTTTTTTACTGCCACCCTGCAAGTGTACCCAGCCTGATTACTATCATTAGATTTTTTTTTTGATTTAAAAGGAAACTTTATTCATTTGAAATAACCAGTACATCGTTTGTGAGGATCATTACAATTTCATTTGGAGGTTCCTCAAACCAGTCGGAAGTCGAAGAAAATCTAGCTAATCTAGCAAGTTCATGAGCTACTTTATTTGCCTCTCTATTACAATGTTCGAATCTAGTCGTGACAAAATCATAGGCATAGTGGTAACAATCCTCGAAAACTGCTGCCGCCGCCCCCGTTGATTGTCCTCCTTCCTGCATGGTCTCAACCACCTCCATGTTGTCTGAGTTGATGATTAGGCGGTTACACCCTGCCCTTTGCGCCATTGTTAGGCCAAACTTGAGAGCTAAAGCTTCAGCCATCAAAACATCCGCACAATAGTCAATCTTTCCATTTCCTCCTGCAATGAACCTACCTTTGTGGTCTCTTAAAACTGCCCCCATCGTACCCTTCAACATATCATGATCAAAAGAGGCGTCAACATTAAGTTTCACAAAACCCCTAGGAGGGCAGTACCAACCCCCCTTTTTCATCGTGGCCTTTGGAGATGATGCATTTACAAAGTTGGATGTGAGAGCTATGATCCCCATTGCTATCTGATTTGCATTCTGAGTTAATTCCTTATGCACTAACTTTCGTCTTTCCCACCATAGGTACCAAGCTGAAATAGCTATCATTTCACGTACATTTTGGTACCCCATAATACTCAAGTCTTGGTCTGGAAGAAGTAGAAGGTATTCCAATATTGCCTCCCCGGCAAGATCAACCTCACAAGCTTGATGCTACGATTACTATCATTAGATTATTCCACCTAGACACATCTAACAGTCAAGATTAATCTAATCTGATGCTACGATTGTACCTATAGCAATTAATCTCAGCAAACGATTACTCTGCCGAACACGTCTTCCGTGGAAAACGTAATCCACTCTTCTCACAGCAATCAAACCCCACAGCCCGCTCCGCCCTGGGCTTCTTTCCATGTTCATCGAACCTTTCTAAGGTTAGATAGCCGCTGCCAGCCAGCTTACGGTCGCCGCATCGAGGCCAAAACTCTCTTCTCCGGCTACTCCTGAAGCTAACCGACCACGCTGCGTCCGCCGGGACGACGATGGCCAGGGCGAAGTCCGGCGTGGAGCGCAGGAAAGAGGATCTCGACGAGGCTTTGAAATTTCCCACCCCAATCCCAGTCCGCGCTGCCGCCTGCCCCTCCGCCGCCGCTCCTCCTCTTGGCCCTCGCCCCACGCACATCGTCATCACCCAGATCGCGCCCTCCCTCCAACCCAAACGCCCCATCTGCCCCGCCATTATCGGACACCGCGTCATCTCACCGTGACCGCCCGTCATTGAACCCGCAGGCATAGAACCCGATGGAGCCGCAGAGGCCATTGACAAACATTGGGAATCCGCGGCCCAAGCTCAGTTTACCGAGACACCGTCGCCGGCTCTCTGTTCCTCTACACATCGACGCCCGCCCCTCCCGTGTCTCTCTCCCCGCCGGCTGTGACATCCCGGACACTACTTATCCGCTCTTTTCCCCGGCGTCCAGCTGCCTACTATGTCAGGTTCCCGTTTCAGGGGTGGTGGTCAGTGCAATTCTGCGCCGTGCTTTGCTTTGCCCCAGTGGCGGATGCAGTGCGCGTGTGTGCACTGGCTTCGAGTCTAGCTTGGAGGCGGCAAGGTGGCTAGGCAGCGATGCTTGCTTTACCTGCTTCATGTAAGTTCTTGCTCTAGCTGATGCTTGTACGTTTGGATGTCAGGAAAAAGTTTGCAATGCAAGTGACAGGTGACAACTTATATACTCCCTCTGTTCCTAAATATTTGTCTTTGTAGAGATTTCAAATGGAGTACCACATACGGATGTATATAGACATATTTTAGAGTGTAGATTCACTCATTTTGTTCCGTATGTAGTCACTTGTTGAAACCTCTAGAAACACAAATATTTAGGAACTGAGGGAGTAATTCGCAATTTTGTTATATCCACTTAACCACTTGGTGTAAATCTGATAGTTACTTATAAACTGCTTTTGATGTGTTCTCCTCCTGAACAAATGTAAATGA